TAAATAGAAATTTTGGTTGAAAAGTACAGTAACAGAAATGAACATTTACTAGACAGGGTCAACAATAAAATTAAATAAGCAGAAGAAAGACTCAATAAATGTTATTGAGATCACGTAGTCTGAGTAAAACAAAAAATAAGGAAAATGAAGAAAAGAATGAGGAATAAGGAAAAATGAAAAGAAACTGAGAGATCTGTAGGACACTGTCAAGTATACAAACATCTGCATAATAGGAGTCTCCACAGGGAAAGACAAAAAAGAGACATAAAAATATTTGAAGAAATAATGGCTGAAAAACTTTTATGAAAAATATTAATTTATACGATCAAGAACTCTATGAACTTCCCTAGATGAGGAAACATATTGTTAATGTTTAAAAATTTAAAAATTTATTACAGTAAAAGACACATCATCCCCCCCCATTAATCTCCTTGCTTTGAACACACATCACTTTTTTCTTGCCACTTTTTGAAGCAGTTTTGGGAGTCCTCATTTATATCTTTAGTTGTGCCATTGTGGCTGTCTTACTGTCCTGAATCAATTCAAAATGTTTCCCTTTCATGGTCATGTTGACTTTAGAGAACAGCCAGAAATGGAATAGTGCCAGATGTGCTGAATAAAGTAGAGAAGAGACACTATAATATTTTTATTTGATGGAAATTGCTGTAGCAGAAGTGTTTTTGTAAGGGAGGATGAAACCCTTTGCCCATTTCTCCACACATCATTTCTTAAATGTTCTAACAAGCCCTTATAGTATTCAGAGTACATTGTAGTATTCATGAGTACAAATTCAGCTTGAATAATTCCATCAGGGTAAAAAAACCAATCCAACACCACCTTGATGTTGAAAATTTTTTCCACATAAGGAGGACTGGGTGATTTGCATTGAGAACACTGATTCTTGGTCTCAGATCATAACCACAGACCCACGTTTCATCTCCCGTGATGACATTTCTTAAGAATCTGGAATCTAAAGTGGCAGAATCTTGAAACACCAATGAAACTGATGGTTTAATGTTAACTCATTGTTAGTGACTTTCATGGCACACTGTCAAACACACCTTCTCTCAACTGTTGCTCAAGCTGACTGCACCGAACAAGTTGAAACTTGTCATGCACTGTTACTAAGGTTCATCGCACCACTTCTCATACTAAAGACCCTGCCTTTCCATTGAATGGCACTCAGCAGCGATAGACTCACTGTACATTTTGACCATACCTCACATGATAAAGTGTTAAATGCTAGAGTGAAATAATTTTTAAAGCAGAAAAGAGAGAAGAGTCTCATCACATCCATGAGATTGTCAATTAGATTAAAAGCTGATTTCTCACTAAAAGGTGAGCAGAATGTGGCATAAAATATTAGTTTTTAAAAAAGAATGCCAATCAAGGAATCTTAATACAGTAAACTGTTCTTCAAAAGTGAAGGAAATTTAAGATGCTTTAGAGAATGTATCAAAAGCATTACTACCTTGGAAGTTCTGTAAGCTGAAGTTAAAGAACACTAGAGAGCAACATGAATTCACATGAAGAACTAATGATCACTGGTAAAAATGACACTTGTGTATGGATAAATATAAAAGATAGTGTAGATGCCACATGGCCAAAATAATTTTTAAAATGAAAAAGTAGGAGCTTTCACATTTCCTGATTCTAAAACTTAATTAAAACAGTTTCCCACTGGTATAAGGACAAACCCATTATAGAACAAAGTAATCCATGTGTGGTGGTGCACACCTAGAACCCCAGTAATCTGGGAGGTTGAGACAGGAGGACCAAAAGTTTGAGGCCAATCCAGGCAACTTAGTGAGAGCCTGTCTTAAAATAAACAAGGGATGGGCAATACAACTCATTTGTAGAGTAGTTTCCTACCATGTATAAGGCTCTGGTTCAATTCCTAGCAAAGAAAAAACAAAAAAGGTTGAGATAGATGAAAGGAATAGAATACAGAGTCTAGAAATAAATCCTCACATTTATATTCAAATAATTTTCAACAAGAGTACTAAGAACATTCAGTGAGCAAAGGACAATCTTTTCAACAAATGCTACTATGAAAACTGGATATCCACATGCAAAAGTATGAAGCTAGACCTTATATACTGTACTGAACTAGCAAAAATAGACTTGAAATGGATCAAAGACCTAAACCTAAGAGCTAAAACTTAAACCTTTTGAAGAAAACTGGAGAAAAGCTTCACAATATTGAAGCCAATGGCAATCATGACTGATTTCTTGAAAAGACATCAAAAGCACAATCAATGGAGGAAAAAAAAAGATATGTATGACTACTCAAAATATTAAAAAAAACTGCATCAAAGGATACCATCAAGAAAATGAAAAGTAAACCCATTAAGTGAGATATTTTCAAATCATATATCTTATAAGGAATTAATATTTAGAATCTATAAATAACTCATAACAACAAAAAATAAAACAACCCATGTAAAAATGATGGGTGTGTTGGGGAACTGAATACTTGCCTCGCATGAGCGAGATCCTGAGTTTCATCACCAGCACCACAAAAGCAAAAACAAACAGCAACAACAGAAGAGCAAAGGACATGAATAGACATTTTTTTCAAAGAAGATATAGAAATGGCCAATAAACACACTGAAATATGCTCAACATCATAAAATGTTAGAAAATGCAAATCAAGACTAGAATGAGATACTGCTATATAACCTCTGGGATGGCTAATGTAAAAAAAAAAATGTGGATTTAGCTCAGTGATGCTGCTGCTTGCCTTGTAAGCACAGGGTCCTGAGTTTGATTCCTGGTACAAACAAAAACAACAACAACAACAACAAAAATAAAACAATATAAAAAAACAAGTGGTGAATATGTGGAAAAATTAGAACATGTGCACTGCTGGTGGGAACTTGAAGTTTAATAAGGTGCAAAGGAAAACAATATGGCAGTTTCACAAAATTTTAATGGTTTTGTTTTGTTTTTGGTGGTGCTGGAGATTGAACCCAAGGCTTTACACATGCTAAGCAGGTGCTCTATCACTGAGCTACATTGCCAGTCCCTAAAATTTTAAATATGAGTTATTGTATAATTCAACAATTTCACTTCCAAGTCTATACCCAAATGAATTGGAAGCTTAAAAATTAGAAGCAATATATATATATATATATATATATATATCTATGTCTATCTGGATAAACAAATGTGTTATATATTTTCAATTGACTATTATTCAGCTAATGAAATTTTAATATGTACATAAGCATGGATGAAACGAAGACATGCTAAGCGATGTAAGTTAACCAAAAAAGGACAAATATTGTGTGACTTAATGTATGTGAGATACCTTGAGTTATCACAGTTCATATAGACAGAAAGTAGAATGCTGGTTTTTGGGGTTGGGGAATGGGAAGAATTTGAAGTTATTGATTAAAGGGAAGGGTACAGAGTTTTGATTTTGGAAGATGAAGGAAGTTCTAGGAATGGATCATGGTGATGGTTGCACCACTGTGTGAATGTACTTAAAGCCACTGAACTGAACTTACAGATGGTTAAAATGGTAAATTTTGTAACATGGATATTTTATAACAAAAATAGTACGTAAATTTGGTCATTATCCTTTATACTCAATCATCTCACTTCCTAGACTGGTACTATAGATATTTTACATATATAAAATGCTGTATGCATACATAAAGTGATATGTCTATTGACATTGTATTCTTTGTACTTAAAAAAGTTTGAACATAATTTTAACATTTGTTAACAGAGAAATGGATGAAGAGATCAAAGTATATTCTTAAGTGAAATGACTATTTTGAGAGGGTGGTAGTGAAGAATTTAATGACTATTAGATTAGTACTGTGCATTCCAGCATTTGAATAATCTCAGGTATCTTCACTTTAAGCACTATTAGTGCAAGTACAACTCAATGAAAAGTAATTTTTTTGAATAGGCATTATAAGGAAGAGATAATTCATAGCACTAGGCCACTCATGAATTTTCTTGGCAACCTCAATATTCCTATAATTCCCAGGATATTTCTAAAGCCTAGGTTATACCTGGGCCATAATAATAATGATTTTTCAAAATTATTATTTTTTCCCATGGGTATCCTTTAAGGAATGTTGGCCCAGATGGTTGTGTGACCATCTGTCTGGGAAGTTATCCAATAATATCTAAGTGCCCATGACTGAGTGTAGAAGTCTTATTAGGTGCACTGAAGGGATCCACAAAAATAACTTCCTCTATGTATTCTAAAGAGTAAATCACTAACTGTTTTTTTTAATTTTTTAATTTTTTTTTTTGAGACAGGATCTTACTATGTAGCTCAGGCTGGCCTCCTGCCTCAGCCTCCCAAGTTCTGGGATTATAGGCCTGCCCCACCAAGCCCAGATTCACTTAATTTTTTTTAAAAAGGGAAGACAGAATAAAGAATGAATAGATTGTTATTGCTAATGTGCTACAGTCTGAAATAATAAAAAGAATTAGAAGGATTTACTGTACATAGGGGAATTTAATCTTCACAATCCAGAAGTGTGGCCTTAAAGAAAAGTATAGCAAGTGTTGGGATCTAATAGTTAGATAATAGCCAGATGCGTGACAAGTCTGAGGATTTCTACAGTCAGTAGCAACTGGGAGGGATTCAAGTAAAATTTAAGAAGTGGATAATTTTGGTTGACAAAAAAGAACATGAAAAAAGGAGAACTAAGACCCAGAAAGAGAATGGAATGAAGAGAGTTACATTTTTTGAGTGCCTATTATATGTTGTACTTCACTGAATGCTTCACTTTTTATTCGACACTCAAGACTACTGAAAAAATAGGAGGTACAATCTCCATTTATAGATAAGTTTTAAGCTTGGATTTCAAGTTAGCATAGTTAGGTGAGCTCTGAATCAGTTTTAAAAAAAAAAAAAAAAAAAAAAAAAAGAAAGAAAGAAACAAAGAAAGAAATAGACACACAAGAAGGATAGCTTTCTTAAACAGGGAACTACCATGATACTCTGGTAAAATTGAACCAAGAAAACTTACTTTTGGACCGGGTGCTCCAGGCGGACCCTATAACATAACAAATTAAAAATTATTTAGTAGGCATCCCAAGCTAGGCAATAATAAATTCATCAATAGTAAACATATATAAATGTAAATCTACTCACTGGAGGCCCTGGTTGCCCTCTTGGTCCTTGGGGACCCTGGGAAATGAAGACAAAGCATATATATATATATATATATATATATATGTATGTGTGGATTTTTGGTTTGGTATAAGCAAAAGAACTAAGACTCAAAATCTCTCACATAACCTTTTTGTGTGAGTGAGGCAAGTCAGAGTATTAAAATTGTTTTAGTATTTCAAAGCTCTTGCACTTAACTATCACCCCTATTCATGAATGAGCTGTGTATTTACTTTTCTGTTTTACTGATATTATTAGAAACTGATTACTCATTTTAATAAACTATTATAAATGCAATACTTAAAATGTTAATATTTTCTCAGCATAATTTCCTATTATTTCTACCTATTACTCAAATAATCATCAAAGGCAGAAACTTTAGTGTTCTTAAACATCTCTTTTTCCTTCCTATTCTACAACTTCAGACCTGATTCCTGGTGCTTTCCCCTCTATATGTCTCCAAATTACTTATCTGTCCTCATAGTACCTGTCTTAGCTCAATGGGAATCAAATGTTGTGAACTGAATGTGTTCTTGCAAATCCAGTGGTTGAAGTCCTGTTCTTCAATAAGCTGGTGTTTGGAGTAGGGGATGAGTCGGAGTTAATTAGGTCCTGAGAGTGGAGCCGTTATAAGTGAGATTAGTGCCCTTATAAAAAGAGACACCAAATAGGCTGTCTGTCTCTTCTTTGTGTAAGGACATGACAAAAAAGTGATCTCCTATAAACTTGAAAGAAAGCCCTTGGCAGATACAGAATTAGCAGCTCCTTTCATCTTAATCTTAGCCTCTAAAACTGTGAGAAATAAATGTTTGCTATTTAAACCACCTAGTCTGTGGTAATTTGGTATAAAGCCTAAGATGATTGTGACGTAATGTTTTGCCAATACCTCTAATTTGATTTCCAGACTTTATTCTCTTCACTACATTAGCTATAATCTATCAATAAAATGTAAATATAATAATTCCATTATTTAGTTAAATAATTCAGGGACCTTAATTGTTTAGAGAATGAAATATAAACTTAATAGTTTAGATACCTACCATTTACTGAAATCTTACTATGTGGCAAGTTGTGTGTCATGTTTCCATTTTACACATTAGAGGAAATAGAATGCTTCAGTAACCAGCAAATAAGGCCAGAAAGAGGATTAAAATCCACGTCAACTAGATACAAAAGTTCATGTATTTAATCACGTGCACCACTGCCTACTTAAGGTCAGGTCCTTATTTCCACCTAGCATCCTTAACATATACAAACCATCTATAACCACTTACTTGTAGATCTCTGAATCTCCCTAGTTCTTTCATATATGCATTCTCTTGAACATGGTATTTCCTTAGCCAAGAATGATTTTCCCTATCTTTTACTCTTTGTTGAAGGCCTATTTTTCTTGCAGTATTACTTAAATTCTATTACCATCTTGCCTATCTTCCATGCTACCTCCCCTCTATTCATCTACCTACCTCTTACTGAATTCCATAAAACACACACCCTGGAAAATCGCTAAGGATATTAAAGTGTCTTAGTCACTTTTTCATTTTTTTGGAAAAAATAGTACTTAATACACAGTAGCCATTCAATAATTATAACTCAATAAATGAATGAATAGATATTAACATTAATTAGTATTAATTTAGAAATGAGAGAAATTAAAATATACATTTAGTGAAATGTCAAAAGTTATGGTGACATTTTTCAAAATGAAACAACAGTAATCACTTGAGGGCTTTGCATATCTTCCCAAAATTAACTTACGGATGGTGAATTGAAAGTCGACACTACATGGAGTCAAACTCAGATTATACTTAAGAGATGGCAAAGCAAAATTAATCTTCAGCTGAATTTCACATACTGTTGATGCTATAACTTGAATTAATATTTAGTGTTTTTTATTGTCAAAAGTTCTGATTCTAGATACACTCTGATAATTAGAAAAGGTAGCACATAATAACTTAGAAAGGGTGGAGTACTGTACCACTATACCTGCTGGATATTTCTTAGTTTGAGGCTTTAGGGTTATAATTTTAAGCAGAAACTCAGAAGTTTCATTATAAGCTACCAAAATGTGGTAATGGAGATGGCCTTTTAAATATATACTCTTAGAGTGAATTTGGCTCTATAAATTTCTCCATTTTAGATCAATATTTTAAAAATAATAAACAGCTCTGACATTTCACCCCACTTAGTGTATTTCTAACATTTGCAAAATCTCAATGACTGTCCAGTACAAAATATATATCTTAATTTTGACTCTGAAAGAGGAATTTATCATAGATGAAGAAACTTATTTTTACTGCTGATTTTAGTGGTAAATTTAAGCTTATTAGAACAAGACAGTTTAGCACAAATATGATAAGACAAAATACTTTAAAACCAACAGGTCAGGGCAGGGCAACCCTAATGTAACAACTACACAAAATAGGGCAAGTATCATATTCGATCATATAAAATAAAATATGATTCTCATGATATTTTATTTGCACTTTTTTATTCTTCTAGCTAACATACCACTAAGAAGTGCTCCTTTCCCTATATATACTATATATATATCCTATGTATACTATATAAAGCAGTTCATAATAAAACTGTGATTCCTTATGATTATTTCCTAAAGGGGAACCAAATTAACATGAATGGTTGTGATGGTTATTTGACTAACAAAAGCACTACCTTTGAATCACAACAGATTCTCTCTTCTCTTAATCCCCAGAATTTACATATGGTTCTCTAAAAGTAACACAATTTATTGTTATGGCTTAGATTTAAAATGTTCCCCAAACGTCTCATGTACTTGGAGGTGGGGTTTTTGGTAGGTGATTGATTTGGAAGGTGATCACGAGGGCTCAGTTGATCTAACTGATAAGATCATACTTTCATATATTTTCTTGCTGCTTTTACTTCTTTGTATGAGAAATGTCTGTTCATTTCGGATGCCCATTTTTGGATCGGGTCTTTATATTTGGGGGGACTGATTGTTTTGAGTTCTTTATATATCCTTGATAATAGTCCTTTGTCTGAGGTACAGCTGGTAAAAATTTTTTCCCACATTGTAGATTGTCTCTTAGTTCTGCTAATGGTTTCTTTTGAAGTACAGAAGCTTTTTAGTAAGATGAGATCCCAGTTGTTGATTCTTTCTGCTAGTTCCCGTGCTACTGAGGATTTGTTCATAAAGTCTTTTCCTATACCAATGTCTTCCAGAGTTCTGCCTAACTTATCTTCCAGCAAGTTTAGTGTTTCTGTTTTAATATTTAGATCTTTAATCCA